CTCCACCACCGAGACCATCCACTTTGGAAAGCCGGTCATTGGAATTCCAGTCTTTGCTGATCAGTTCGTCAACGTGAACAGGGCCGTAGCCAAGGGATTTGCCAAGAGAGTCGACCTGTCCTACGGCATGGCCCCCGAGCTTGGAGCAGCCATCAAGGATATTATCGGGGATCCAAAGTGAGTTCCAATCCAAAATCCATTTTTTTTCTATCTACATCCCCATACATCATGAAAAGATAGCAAAAGAACTTTGATGAATGAGTGGGAAATAGAACTGGAACCTTTTTATGCTCACTAATTTCAAAACAATTATTTTCATGTTAGATTAGACAGAGGACACCATAGATAGGAAGGAATGTATTATGAATTCCTCTCGATTTAATTTTCATTCTAACTTTCTCGGAACTAGCAATCAGATGCTTCAGCAATTTTTTTTGTTTCATGGTTTCATATTTACTTTGTATGCTTCCAGATACTCCAATAACGTGAAACAACTATCACTGATATACCACGACCGCCCAGTGCCTCCTGGCAAGGAGCTGGTGCACTGGGTGGAGCACGTGGTCAAGACTAACGGCGCCCCCCATCTTCGCTCACCAGCATTAAGCGTACCTTTCTACCAGAAAATGTATCTCGATCTCCTTGCCTTGATAGTAGTTATCTTACTAGGAATAAGAGCAATATTTAGAATAATATTCAAGAAGAAATCAAGTAAAGTAAAGAAAGAGTGAACGAACTTGACACATCGGTTTAATACTCAAAATTAGTTCCTAAATCATACCAACAAGTGAAGTTCTTGTCGTTTATATTAAACGGAATAGAACTGTTAATGTAATAATGTAATGTAATGTAGTAATAAACATGATATATAAAAATGCATTGTTTTATTTACATAACTTGTGGATTAAGCTGAAGCTTCTAAACAAAAGAGGATTTCCAAGCTGAAGCTTCTAAACAATAGGCGATTTCCAAGTTGAAGCTTCTAAACAATAGGGGATTTCCAAGCTGAAGCTTCTAAACAATAGGGGATTTCCAAGTTGAAGCTTCTAAACAATAGGGGATTTCCAAGCTGAAGCTTCTAAACAATAGGGGACTTCCAAGCTGAAGCTTCTAAACAATAGGGGATTTCCAAGCTGAAGCTTCTAAACAATAGGGGATTTCCAAGCTGAAGCTTCTAAACAATAGGGGATTTCCAAGCTGAAGCTTCTAAACAATAGGGGATTTCCAAGCTGAAGCCTTTAAACAATAGGGGATTTCCGAGCTGAAGTCTCCAATCAAAATTGGATTTTAAAAAAATAATAAAAAAATAGTCAATATCTTTATTGCATTCCATTTTGTTCATTTTATAATGTCTAAAAGAATCTGTATTATTACCTATGTAAATAAATAAAAGGATCTAGGATACCAGAATTTCTAATCAAGATGACGTTGAGGTAACCGAAACTGTCTGTCACTCACTAATCATGATTTGATACGTGATAATCATCGCACGTAGAGATGTTTGATTGTACAAATCGAAACTTAAGTAGGGTAATTCAAGTGCAATCTGTCATTTCAATCTATTCTATTTGTCATTTAGCTTGTTTAATCTGTGCTGAATAAAGTGCACAATATTTAAGCAGGATATGGTTGCACGCGGATTTTTAGAGAGTTAAATCTTTTGGCCAATAGAAAACGTCATAATAGTTATTATATGAACTGGGATTGGTCAATGACTTTTGAAATTAAAATCCGATGGCCTGAAAAAATCGGTTTTCCAACAAACGTCAGTTACGCGCAAGGAGGTTTAACTATTTATCCATCGAAGTTAATAAGGGAGAAGACATAAGACTAATTTTATTATTTGCCTGCCGCGACCCGGTTTTTACGAACAATGACGATGACGAACGATGAACCAGTAACGAGGAGCACACTTAGCAATGCTTCCAGGTTGCGCCTCGGTATCAATTAAGTAACATTTTCCGTTAAGTTTACTTTATGGCCAACTAAAGGACTTTTGCCGTCTCCATGGACAAACTCGAAGTATGATAACTACAGTCATTGTCAAAATTTTGCACTGCCATTGCCGCTGGATACCATATATCGCTACTATATTCATAGATAATAGACTTTCAGTTAATCGTCAAAATTGACATTGTTTTTTAAATAACAACAAATGGTATGAATTTTTAAATGTGATATTTTTATAAAGGTAAGTCCCCAAAACAACATTTGATAGCCTATTTTCTTTCGTTGGCATCTAAGTTCCTGTTTTCTACATATATGTTACTACTACCTATTGGATAAGTAACTAAGAACTTTGTCGTTTATTCCATGTGAACAAAATCCCTAAAAGCCCATTTGTAATAATATTCTTACTAAACACTGCTGAAAAAGGACTAAACTTCTGAGCTATGAACGTATAATCCAGTAGCATTAAGTAGGTAGGTACGTATAGCGACGTTGGAACTTGATATAGAAGTTAGCTGTTTTATATTTTTTTTCACAGCAGAAATCTTTATCTTTGATCTTAATATCTGATCGTACGTATTGTCTTTTAAAATATTACATTTGCCTAAATAAAAATAACCGACCTGCTGCTTATGTAAATTATAATTATTTATAACCCTACTTACAATGCATAACAATCATAATTAGGTATTATAACCCTACTTAACAATGCATAACAATCATAAGATAGTTTGGCGTATAAGTAGGTAGGTAGGTACTATCTAGGCCGAAGGTGGAAGCGATCGACCCGGAAATATTCTCAACCATCTCAACTATCATAATATGTATTTAGAACAGTCCCTCCTTACCAATGATATTATAGATAATACCATTGCTCCTTACCATCAATGCAATCGAGCAGACAAAGGACATTGATAAAAATCGCCCTAAGATTTTCAAAGACTTAGTATGTACCATAATTTTATGTATATTTTATTTATTTACTTGCAAGTGTCCAAACCTATCGGACAAGTTGCAGTTCGAAAAAATATTTTAAAAGTATTTAAACGAAATCAAAGTCACCGACATATTGACAGAGCAGAGACAGAGATGCGCTTTTTTAATTCGATTTAAGTAAATAATGGTATGATCGATTAGACTAGAGTCTAATCATTAGACCTTTAGACGGGCGCAGATCCGCCGCGCCCGCAGCGCTTCAGTGGATTATTGCATTTTTTTATGTATATTTAATCACATTTATTTACCTACATTTACATATTTACTCTTTTCTTTAAGTGTAGACACTGTTTATGTATAAGTCCACTATTGCATGCCGTGGCAACCTATAATTAAGGCAGCACTTAGATTAAGTTAAATACGTTGTAAATATTGATTGTCTTCCAGTGTATGTCTTGTTGGTTGTCCTATTAAATAAATAAAATAAATATTTATAGCAACACAATGTTTAAAAATAAAATTTTTCAAAAACGATCAATTTAATCGATTATGTCTATTCTAAATGGACATCCCTATTTGTTAGTCAAATTGTCATTCACTCGCATCACCTTTTCTCTCTCACTCACTCTTGCTGTGTTGCTGTCTTGCTTGATCCTTCTTTGTGATTCGTTTGTGTTTTAGCTTTTATTTTCGGAACTTTATTAACTACAAACTTGGCTATTCAAACGGACTCTGATTGATTGCAATAACGACATACTCAGCCTGGGATTTACTGTTTTTGTGTGGCTCGGCCAAGGCTCGGCTGGTGGTTCTATGGTGTTAGAAAATGAGCAACTTAATTATACACAACAATGGGCAGCACCTCGATCGGTAAGTACCTACATTTTGCTCTGCAATCTTATGAATAAGTACTAGCCTTGCCAAACTTCTGAATTGCCGTTCTCATGGCGGGTTGTCTTGAAATGAATGTTCCGCTATTATCTGTGGTTCAACCCTGGACAGTGTGGACAGCCAGGCCCGATTCGATTGTAAGAAACTAGTCGATGGTACAGCGCAATGGAGGCATGAGCGAAACAAGTTGTTTCGCTCATGCCTCCATTGTTTCAAACAACAATTATGTTGACAATCCTCCTTGTTTCAAACAACAATTATGTTGACAATCCAGCTGGTTTTGGTGTAAATCTAAGGAATTATTTACTTTGACACTATCTCCCTGCTCTCAATGAAAGCTTGTTTTGTTTTGTTTTTTGGAACTAAGACTACTAGATTATTATTTTTTGTAACTAAGTTTGTAACACGTCTTAATTAATTATTATAACAACAATGCTTATTTACTAAAGCTGTTTAACCCTACCCTCTGACCCAAAATTCTACTAACAGCACATAATATTGAATTATCATTTTTTTTATGGTTTGCGGCTCAATTTATTCAACGCACAGGAGTANTTTCTTTGAAGTGTTAATGCACAGTAGTTTTTGAGTGATGAAGAGTCAAAAGTGGCTCCAATTGATTCGTCTAAATATACGCACAGTGCAGGCCCCATCCCTGGAACTAAGCTTAACATGCTTCCGAATGTCTTAAATATTTGCTCAATGTTGATTTAGTTGATTTTCTCCTGATGGGAACATGTAAGACAAAAATAAAATTTCCAATATTACAGATCTTCAAGAACAGATGCCGCAAAAACTATACAAGATATAGAAAAACTTGACTATCTCACCTGTAGCAAATTGAATAAGCTTTTTTTGGTTCATATTAGTCATGTCACTAGGACGCATAGTTTCTGAGGATTAAGCGAAAAACTGAAAAGTGGTACCTTTAATCCCCCCTCACCCCGCCGGCTCAAGGGCTAAGGGCGGGGACTTTTGCTATGTTCACCTCCTAACTAGTCTAAATAAAGTCCTAAAGTCAGAAATTGTGTTCCACGGATTTCCATCTATAATGCTTTATTCACTGGACTATGATGCATTTTCGAAATCAAACTAGTGCTTCATAATGATGACTAGGTCTTAATTAATTTATCTCTACTCGATTAGTCAAACTAATTATTGCGCTGTCATGCTAGATCGTTTTTGTTCACAATCATAATAATATTTATTGCCTGGTAGCCGATCTAGGCAGTTAAGTTATAATATTATCGTATTCGTGTATTATCTCCATTATCGTAAGATTAGCGGCCTACAAATAACACAGGAAAACTGATTTGATTCACACACCGGTCACACACATGGCGTCTTCGTTACGCAACGGACGGGTGTGAAGTGGTTTTTGTTTAATTTTTTTTTGTTACATTCTGTGAATATATTTTATGTGAATTAAAAGTGCAAAATGGTAAGTTATCCTTAAAGCTAGTTTATTTAAATATTTGTCATCCAATTGCCAAATACCTACTATTAATGCTTTTGTGTCTAAACCAATCATTGCACAAAGCATTCACGTGCTGTCTACAGACAAGGAGTGATTTTTCAATCATTGAATAACTTTTATCTGAAGAATGAAATAGGTATTTCAATCGTCAGATTTCTTTTTTAACAAGAATAAAATTTACATTTTGATATATTATTTCCCATACTGAAACTGACAATGTGCCAAACTTATTCTTTACTTAAAAGATTAAAAAAAATATCAAAAATCGGCAGGATACGTCATGTCAAAATCCCAATTTTATTCTGCAGTTAAAAGATATCTGATAGCTGAAAAAATTGTCAAAAAAAATTAGACAGAGTATTTTTAAAATGTGATAAAAATATTTTACTCGTTTCCTTTCCAGAAATTTTCGATCGCATGTCTACTGCTGGCATCCCTCCACGTAGGGTTTGCCTACAAGATCCTCGTGGTGTTCCCGATGCCTGGGAAGAGCCACACAATCCTTGGGGAAGGAGTCGTCCGACACTTGGCTAATGCTCAGCATGATGTAAGACATTTTATACTTTATTACACCTTTGTGGTCTAGTGGTAATCTAAAACTAGTGTATCAGATCCAGAGAGTGACCATTTTGCATGCTAAAAATGTTAGCAGAATACTAAGCATTGTGTAAATTATATTACAAGACCTTTTATTGTAATGTTTCCATTTGAAGAGGCCCCGGGTTTGGTTCTCAGTAAAAACACAATTTTGTCTTGTTTACTTCTTCTAAGTCCGTCTAGCTATCAACTACCATCATCTAAGTTTGTCTCTATAACAGAATTTGGAGGTGTAGCTCGCTTCCACCTTCGGAATCATTTTTACCAGTTTTCTTTTTCTTTTATTTTTATTATTTGCTATAAATACTTGCGGATATGTCTACTTTAATATGATAAGGAAAGTTTGGACTTCATATTTTGACCTAACCAGATAAGATTTATAATCAGTACGATTTACAATACTTCTCCTAATTAGATTTACGTTTGGTTTGTACTTTGTATAGGTAGGTATTACAAACAGTTGACGCATAGATAAACATGTTATTACGTTAAAATAGGCAACACCGAAAAAAACATAGTCAGAAAACGAGTCTTTTTTATCAAGGTCAGAGTCAGAGTCTGATAAATAAGGAAGCTATTATAGGCGTATCGAGGTCACAAAATAATTACGCATTGTTTTTGGGACAATCATTCTGTTTTAATGTTTTGTCCCATAGGTACCTATACTTCTACTTAATATCCCATCTGCATAATATGTACTTATGCAGTAATGTACTAACTGCATGTTCTTCATTAGTGTTTTTGTTTTCAGGTTACATACATAACTCCAATATTTCTGAAATCTCCACCGAAAAATGTGAGACAAATAGACGTAACTTCCAATTTCGACTTCATGAAAAACAATGGTATGTTAATTATTCATATTGCCAAGTGATATGCGCAGGAGTACTCTGTACCTGTACCCTGTGCGTGACTTTAGTGTAAGTTCTTGTTCCCACGGTAACATCCTGTTTTTTACAGGAACTGTTATTTGCAGGATACCATTTAGTACTATCTAGTATTATGTGGTACATGTTTAAATAATAACGTTCAGATGAACATCCCATTTGCAGTGTCCCGCAATAAACAGATCGTTGTAATTCGAATTTCAAACAAAATACTTTTGACTTCTTATCTAATACAAACCTGATAGCCCAAGTGAGAAGTAGCCCTAATCAGAAGTAGCCAAAATGAGAAGTAGCCATAATGAGAAGTAGTCCATTAGCGAGTCGGTTGCCGTATGCGAATAAATGCGCCTAATAAGTAAAATTTTATAAAAAAAAACCGACTCCAAAAAACCTACACTAAAAAGTAGGTTTTTTGGAGTCGGTTTTATTTTTTTTAAATAAAATTTTACTTATTTCTTGCTTTTTAGTTAACTAATTATTACCTTGATGTTACCACTGAAGGTAGGCAGTACATTGAGACCATATTCTTCATGTCTAGTGTAAAATAATATTCCCTACAAAATACAGGTTACCATATAGGAAACCTAAAAAGACCTTAAACCGTCAGCCCACCTTAAAAACATGAAAGAATACAACTGTTGGTCTATTTATACCTTTAATATTTAAAGAATTATCCTCCAACTCCTAAGCATTAAGGAGTTGTACCTACCATGACCAGTTCATCATGATGAGATGATGAATATCTGATGTAAACACTTGAATAACTTTAGAAACTATACTTATCTATAAAATTAAAATAATTATCATCCAACTCCTAAGCATTAAGGAGTTTTACCTTCTATCATCAGCTCATCAATATGAGATGATGATTTCCAGGAGCAAATACNTTTTCTGGGTATCTTATGTATTTTTTCAGTATTGCCTGTTATTTAGCATTATTATTGATTTATTTTATCAGGATATACCGCTTAGTTTAAAAGTTATTACGTTTTCTTTACAATAAGTAATTGGAAGAAAAAAACTTCTATAAAAAATTAAAAAAAAATCTCAAAAAATTTTTGACCTCTTTTTTGTCGATAAAAATAGGTCTAGTTTTATCTATTTTCATATGTACACTTTAACGTGACTCACACTGTATATTTCCTGATTATTATTTACAAAATACAGCATGATTTTTAAGGCTAGCTCACACTTGACATCTTTCAGGGCCAATGGCAATCGCGGGTCCAGTCCCTAGAAGAGGATCATCCTTATCCTTACTCCCTTAGTTCCTACAAACTTCAACTTCGTCAGGTAGGTTATTTGTACGGTGTAGACATTCGCTAAGAACGGATTTTACGAAACTCCGCCCCTAAGGCTGGTTTTAGTGTCACGCGGACCGTCCGGTGCGGACCCGCTCCGCACGGCCAATCTGTATGAACTTTTAGGGAGCGTTTTAGAGTAATGCGGTCCGGAGGAACCGCTCCGCTCCTTAGCAGTTCATACAAATCGGCTGTGCGGAGCGATCCGCACTGACAGTCCGCGTGACACTAAAACCAGCCTTTGGTAGTGAAACAGGGGTAGAAAGATTTTATATTTCACTCAGGCGAAGCCGTGAGCAAAAGCTAGTTAAATAAATAAAGTAATAGTACAGAACATGTTTAATAAAGCCCGACTCACACTTGGCAACTGTTTTCTTTACCACTGAGCCGTCCACACACGCCAGCAAACAGGCGGAACATGTTCATTGTTGGAAACAAATTAACTTATCTTTTTAATGTTTCTGAATGCTTTCATCGTATTTCGTTGTGGGTTTTCAATTAAGTATGTAAAGTCGTTATGGTGAAACAATAAATCCTACCAAAATATTTTCATGTCAAGAACTGTGAAAAAGTTATGATATCTATTTGTGCCATAGGACGTCCACTGCTGGACATAGGCCTCCCCCAATGAATTTTCCACAACGGCCGGTTGGTAGCGGCTTGCATCCAGCGCCTTCCTGCTACCTTTATGAGGTCGTTAGTGCACCTTGTGGATGGACCCTGGCTTAGTCAAAATGTGTAGATTGAGACACTCCTAATGAACAGAAAATAATTAAATAACTAAGTAGGTGAAAATATTGAACTATGGCCGACTAGAGAACTGAACAGTTTTGAATTACCCACCCTCATTTTTTTCTCATGCAATTGACTCTATGGTTTTAATGAGAAAAATAAGAGACAAGACAAAGAGTACAAAAAAGTAAGCCCAAATAGATCCGACTAATTTGTTTTTCTTTGGGGAAGGTCTATAATCAGCAGTGGACGTCCTGTGGCTGAAATAATGATGATGATGATGAATTTGTTTTTCACAAGATTCATAAACAAGGGACTGAAAACGATATCAGAGTTCCTTACACCACTTCCAAAAATCTCTATTGGACCCTGAAAGTGCCTACTCTAATAAAGAATTTGAATTTGCCCTTATGTATACAAAATTTCCTCATATTCACACCTACGCTCACGTCTCGTGCTTATTTCGGAGGCTTTTGTAAAGAATTTGAACGGTTGATTTATGCCTTCATAACGTCGCATGAGCGGAAGTACTAAGCTCACCTATGTACACGAATAAATACCAAGTGCCGTGAGAGCACCAATGTAGCTAACCTGGTAAGAAACACACCGAATTTGGTTTTTCAACCCAAAGGTTTTTGAAAGTTTGTTTATTGGTTTCAGTTAAATTATGTCCACTATTGGACAAAGGCCAAGAGTGACGTGAGAGCACTGATGTTGGCAACTAAATTAGATTTTTTAAAGTTCTTCGTTTCAGCCAAATGATGCCCACTGCTGGACAAAGGCCTGTCCTACCCCAAGGATTAACAACGACCTTTAAAATATTTATTTCAGATAAAAACTGCATTTTATAATCTCTATGAGTATTGACTTTGGGGATCTCAAAATTTGAGAATATCTTTTTCCTTCATCATCTTTCACAATTATGCCATTATTAAATTAATGTGTCTCACTTGGGAATTGAACCCAGGACCTCCAGGATCGAGAGAATCAATCTTGTTTGAAAATCAGTTAAATTACTTTAAGGAAAACCAAAAAAAGTACGATTACCCTAATATTTTTGAATGATTTTAAGAGACATCAAGTTTTTGTTTACAAGACAAAACTATCTACTTCCTAATAGTGCTTTAAAATTAGATACTGATAAAGTCATAGGACCGACGATCTGGTGAAGGTCGCGGGAGGTGCCTGGATGCAAGCGGCGCAGGACCGGTCTTTGTGGAAATCCTTGGGGGAGGCCTTTGTTCAGCAGTGGACGTCTTTCGGCTGAAACGAACGAACGAACGAAAGTCATTGAAAACTACAACCTATACAATTCTTCATTAATTTTGAATACAGTTTTTATCTATCTAACTAAAACTATGATTGGTGCTCTCTCGTCATAAGCAGACGATTTTTTCCTTCCCAACGACAGAAGCTTCGAGTAAAAGCTCTGTAGGTAAATAACATCAATAAGGACACAATAATGAAATTTCCTCCCAGAGAGAGCGAGACAATCGATTTATTCCGTTACGGGAACAATGGACATTTTAAGAGAACATTTTGTTTGTTTTAATAAATAACCAAAGAGTTTACGGCAATAAGTCAGTCTTTGATCAAGGCGTCGCTTTTTCCAGTCTTTGTCTTTTTACCCAACTGCACCAGAAGGGGGTTATGTTTTTTATTAAATGCTGTGTGCCTGTAGTAATTTACAGGGTTCTTTCTATGTTATGGGATATTATGGTACCAACATGATGCAATAAAGTATTATGACTATGAATATTTTTCCTTATTTTGAGTTGGTTTTAGTTATACAATAATAATGTAAGTAGTACCACAGAATAATAATAGTAGCTACTACTCTATATTGACTATTAGCTTTTTCTCGCGGCATTGCTCGCGTGAAATTTTGCCTGTCACAGAAAAACTTTATTGCGCGCGTCTCTGTTTAAAAAACCGGGATAAAAACTATCCTAGGTCCTTTTTCCGGGACTCAAACTATCTGTAAGCGTAACAGATAGACAGAGTTACTTTCGCATTTATATTATTAAATAATCGAATAAGGGGACCGAGGTGAATTGTAACAATTTTAACAGAGGAGAGTTGTGACATTGTTGATTTTATGGAACTTATTAAATCTAGCGAGCTCATGACAGTGCGCGTTTTTTAGTTCAAGTCTCGAGCCAACAAATACCTACTCGAGCTGATGCCAGCTCAATGATAATTAATAGATAAAAATCGATAATGTCACAACCCTCCCCAGCCTCCTCTAATGTAGGTAGTATCGATAGGGATGGATAGATACAGATCAATCAGACCAACTCTGTGGTCTAGTGGTAAGACCACCTGCTTCAGATGCAGAGGTCCCGGGTTCGATTCCCAGTGGGGGCAGCTTTTTCTGATCGGTTTGGTTGGTGGTAGGGCTTGTTCTAAGTCCGCCTGGCTAGCTACCACCATCTTACCTAAGTCTGTCGCCATAACAACAATGTTAACAGCTTTGTTGTGTTCCGGCAGTTAGAGGTAAGATAGCCAGTTCCTCTGAGGATTCCGGGTGAAGCTCGCTTCCACCTTCGGCCTGATCATCACTTACCATCAGGTGAGATACAGGCCAAGAGCTTCCCCGTTGAAAAACTTAAAAAGACCTAAAGCTTTTAAAAAGCAGCAAACACATGTTCGGAACTATTCCAGTAGTAATCCATAGTCTAAAGTACATGTACTTGGAATTCACGTCACGTAGGGCCGAGGCCATCAACAAATAGTTTAGAAGGCCCATTTTATAGGGCATTCGTTACATCGTCAATGGCCGAATATTTTATAGAAAGTGCCAATAGAGTTGGGTAAATGGACTTCAAGTTGGAACGAGTTGCTTTTGTGACGGCTTCATTTGATGAGTTCTTAGTTTAAGAAGAAGTACCTATTTGAGTAAAATTTGGCTTTGTGTTTAAAGGTTTAGTATCAGGCTGAAATAAAGACTAAATTAATTCAAGCTTTTTATTTT